TGGTTCGCACACGTGGAGGCTCACTTTCCTGACCGACAAGTCTGTGAGGATCCGGAGGGATTCCCCGATACTTCTTACAGTTTTCTTCAAGGGGTGTCTCCTGTCCTGGTACAAACACACTGCCTGAGGAAGGCTATAAGTATTTTTTTTTGTCATTAACCTTTTTCGGACCCACTTATTTATTTAATTTTTGGGACGATCCAACCTCCAGTGCTGCTACTCTGGTTTCAACTGCATCAACCAAACAATATGATTCTATCTTCGACCCCCCAAAATACCAAAATCTGACACGGTGTGAATTTTTTTTTTAAGCTTGTTCTGTCGTCATTTCCTGCGATCTTCTCCATTGCAGTCAGTCAAAATGACAATGAATGGGCGTTTTTTTTTGTACTATTTATAGGGCAATATGGGCGTTACGTGAAGCCCGCAAAAGCTGCACCGCATTTTCGAGTCGTTGTGATTTCAAAGGGAAACGGCGTAGATGTGCCGTACGCAAGTCGCTGCGGCCGTTTACGCAGTCCTTTTATGGAATCGAAAGAGTGTCGGTGGGCACGTATTTACATTTGCTTTGTCCTACGTAAGGCAACCTTCGCCACGACAATCTACGCAGGCTTTATAAATGAGGCCCCCTAAACTTACAGTGCTGACTGTCCTGCCTGCTCTGAGTTACTTTGCTCCTGTTTACTTTATGCTGTGGGCTGATTAGAAGGTGTTAAAGTCAGCCTGCTTACCTTGAAATGATAGTCATATTGTTTGTGAGAGATGTGCAATATTATTCTTTTATTGCAGTACTGTTACTAACCCCAGATCCTGCTTCTGCCTTTGTAGTAAAAATGTCCAGGGCTTGCTGTTTTTATTTTTAGTACTGCAGATCCCTATCCCCTGTGTGCCTTGGCAACACAGTGAATAATATACATGTACCCCACTGGAGGAGGCTGATAAGTTACCCTTTGCCGGAGGAGCTGCTGGAGGAGGTGGTCCGACTCCGACTCTCCACCCCCATCTCTCTCCTCACCATAGTGAGACGCTCGGTGGACATACTCTTCCTAAAGGAGACAATATTGTGTTTTAAAAACATATATTTACACTTCTTCTCCTCTATTCAACCAAGATACACTCTGGTTTTGTGTACCTCTTGATGGACTGTAGCACCTCCTTCTTAGGAGAGGAGGGGGAGGAGAGGAGGCGCTTCTGTTTAACGTAGCCGTTATTCAGAGGTCTGGAGGGAAGAGCCTGCAGGAGCTGACGCACTGAAAGGAAAACATATTATTTTCATCAGCAAAACGGGAATTGAGAGACGATATTAATTCTGAATCTGGGACTTTTTGCTGTATGTGAGGCAATGGTGACCCTGCACTGGGACAGATATGACATCCAAAGTTCTGTTTTATTTTTTATTATCTTGTCTTTTTAATGCACAATATCATAATGCTTTGAATGCTTTTTGTATTGCCCTTTGAATGTTGAAACGTGCTGTATAAATACATTTGCCTTGCATTTAATTTGCTTTTGCTGATTTCCAGATCCATGCTTTCCAGATCCTGCCCAGTACTTCTTGGCCATATTGATGATACTGATGAGAAAATTAACTAGGTAGTGATGCTTCTGGGCGCTGGTATACTTTTGTCCGGTTACCTTTCTTACCCTTGGTGGTATGTGCTGTTGCTGTGGTGGGCAGGGGTCTCCTCCCAGCAGCGTGGCCCCCCGGCGGCTGACCCAGGCTCTGCTCCTCACAGCAGCCCAGCCTACGCAAGGCGTCGGCTAGAGCGGCCTTCAGCAGCTGGATCTCGTCCTCCTGCAGCTGCAGCTTCTGCTCTAGGTGGGACACCCGGTCCTCCATGTCCAGGTTACTGCCCGCCGATACCGTGTCATCTGGACCGGAGGAGAGAGGGATTCATTTAGATTCCACTTACAGAGACTCACAGCAACAAGGCAGCCTTCAATGGGTCCCGATTGGCAGGAGTGGTCATTATTAGTGCAAATGCTGTTTACAGCATTCAACTATAGTTCTTTGAATCTTTATTCTTCCCCTTAATATTATTATTAGTGTGAATACTGTTTACAGCATTCCACTATAGTACTTTGAATCTTTAATCCCCTTATTATTTCAGCCAATACTTTGGCACTCCATAACTTCAGCTTATTTTCAGCTACAGGAACCATTCAAATATTAAACTATTATTTTTGATATCTTTTAAACTTTTTGAGATATTTAACTTAGTTTGAAGCTTAGCAGAGAGGCCTTTTTCAGATTTTAACATTAGAGTGGATGGGAGCAGCTTGTTAAATCGAGAGTAATCTGATCTCAAAACAGAGTGGAGCAGTGCTTGAAATTCTCCCCCAAAAATGTTTTAAACTTGTCATAATTCCCAAACCCTACAATGTAATGTATAACTCCTATTGAAATGTTCAAAAAGTGCTCAAACTTTGCATGTGTGCTAACAGACCAGCCGTGAAGACATCTACGGGAAAGTTTTGAGATTTCTTCAAATGCCGTTGCCATGGCAACACAATGCTCACTATGAAACACGGTTTTCTCATAACTTCATTAAAATGCTCGAAATGGCCCAAAACTTCACAGGTTTGGTAACGATGCAGCCATCAACACATCTAAGCGTATTATGGGATGTCATCAAATGCTGTTGGCATGGCGACAGATCATTCACCATCAAGTTGGTTCAAAAGTTTGCAGTTCAAATATTCTTCTGCTTTCCCAAGCCTTTTTGACTTTATTTTCTCATCTTCATACAAATTCATTCAGTACTAATTACATCTGATATTTAACTCCTTCAGCCTATTTTCAGCTGCAGAAACCATTCAACTATTAAATTATTCAGCTATTTCAGGACATCCAGGCTATACATGTTGTTGTTTATACCTTTTTTTAAACCTTTTCTTTTAAATAATAAGCTTTTTCTGCATTTTTTTTGCTAAAAGCAGCTACCATTCAGCTAATAACATATTTCCGCTTTTTCTGCATTTTCAGCTAAATTCAGCCATAAATGTTTACAGTTTANCAAAATTAGAATCTCTGGCGCCGCCACTGAGCTGACTATGTGGTTGGGCGGGCGGGCCGACGTTTTTTTTTTTCTCCAAAGAGGGGGGCCTGACAGAAAAAGTTTGAGAACTCACTGTGTTAACGTGTAAGCTCAGTCACATCGAACCTCAGCTCAACCAAACCATATGTCAAGCTAAGTCTAACGCCAGCCCAGGTCGAGCCATAATATTGTACACTATCACCCACGCCCATCCTTATTGTGATTGCTCCACATACACCACTCCGGGTCGACATTAGCTGTCCACATACCCCCTTGAACGCATAGCCATTGTAGACCCCGAGCGCCCATACAGTGTCCCCCACATACCGTCACCATAGATAACCCCCATCTCTTACACAGGTTACAAGATGACCTAGTTCTGTACCAAACCTAAACAAAAGCCCTTGTCAACAGATCATCACTTAAGCGTTAAACACTGCTGTCTATTTCCGTTTTAACCCTTTATAACATAAGGCGACGGTCTGATGATCTTAACTTGGAGTCTACTATAGCATCGTAGCAACCGACGTAGCTACCACTCGCTTACACACGCTAACCCAAGCCGAACATTAATTCGTATGCCTGAGTAAAATCATTAAACACATAAAAAGTACTGCGAATTTCACTACCGCAAAACAGCATTCATGCACCCGTATGTTTCACCGCAGAGGCGAGTCACATATCCGATATATAGCATGAAGAAACAAACAAAAACACGGCGGGGCAAGTTGTGTGCCCTGGATGAGCTGAACAAGCCAGAGTGCTGTAGCTTACGGAGCAACTAGCAAAGAGAAAGAAGCTAACAGCAGCAGCACTTCACAGAGCCGTCACTCAATGTACCATGCCTAATTTATGCAAAAACTTTAAGACCTAATATAAATAAAAGGGCTCATTGGTAGAAAACAATCACTCACAGATCCATAATCATGAAGGGAAACTAACATATTCATAATAATAATTTATGCATCCATGGGTAGAAACATGTATTTTTCTGCTGTAAATTGGGCATTTTAACATGTGGGCCTATGGAAATTGCCTCCTTTCTGCAGTCAGTCCCTTCGGCCAATATATACTGCAGGGTGGGCACTCCGTAATTGGCGGTCCGGCTCTTTTCCAACAGAGTTGTGCCGTCTTGGTACAACGAAACCCAGAGATCAAAGGTTTCCCATGGGTCTGCTCTGATTGGCTTGATGTCACGCAGGTGTGTGGTTGGCTGCCCAGCAACACCATGAAACGCAACTGCAGCACTGAGTCCCATAAGAATGCATTGAGGGAATATATCTGACAATTTTGCCACCTGTTCAAAACTATGGCTCTTATAAAAAAATGACCAGAACCGTGAGCATCCGGTGAACCAATGAACTGAAAATTGTTTTTTTTTTGGTTTTGTGTGTAAAAAATGTGAGATGGGAGCAGCTTTATCTAAAGTGTTACTTCTCTCTGCGCTGAAGAAAGATCCGGAACATTTAGACATAGGAAAGCAATTGGGAGCTAGCTAGACTTTTTCCTCTTCATGCCCTCAAAGTAGGCATTTGTTGATATTTGTTCTTATTTATTTATTATTTCAAACTAGGAGAGGTTTCCTACGTTTTTCATGAAAAAATAATGCTGAGGAGTGTAGGGTGGGAATTAGGAAGTTAAAACATGTTTTGGGGGAAATTTTAAGCCTGCTCCACTCTGTTTGAGTCAAGCACTCTAGAAGGACAGCTGTCTCCATCCACTCTAATGTTAAAATCGAAAAAGGCCTTCTCTACCCAGCTCCAAACTAAGTGCAATATCTCAAAAAGGGGTATGTTGTCTGAATGGAATTCTCTGAAAGTATGTGGAAGGGTAGCAATGGCGCAAGGTGTAGGAAAAGCAGGATTTGAAGGCATCTCCCATTGACTTCAATGTTAAAAAAAAAGGTTTAAAAAGCTGAATATTTCAAAAAGTATGAAATATTTTGAAAAAGTTGAAAGTTTCTCATCAGTTGCTGAAAAGGCTGAATAGTTTAATATTTGAATGGTTTCTCTAGCTGGAAGTAAGCTGTAGTTATGGAGAGTTAAAGTATTGGCTGATTTGAAGGCTTTTCCCATTGACTTCAATGTTAAAAAAAGAGTTTAAAAAGCTGAATATTTCAAAAAGTATAAAATATCTTTAAAAAGTTGAAAGGTTTCTCATCGATTCCTGAACAGGCTGAATAGTTTAATATTTGAATGGTTACTGTAGCTGAAAATTAAGTTGAAGNGGTGAAAATGTGGATGAAGCTACTTTACATTTTTATGCGGATGTAGGCTTGGGCGGTATGACGGTATTACGGTATACCAGGGTATTTCGAAATACCGTCGGTATCGACGGTATTTCGAAATACCCTGGTATACCGTAATACCGTCATACCGCCCAAGCCTACATCCGCATAAAAATGTAAAGTAGCTTCATCCACATTTTCACCTAAACTGTTGATATATATAGAGAATAAAATTGGACCTAAAACCGAACCTTGAGGAACACCATTAGTAATGTTTAACCACTCAGAAGACAGCCCATCAAAGTGAACACATTGGGACCTTTCAGAGAGGTAGTTCAAAAAGCACCCCACTGCATGGCTGGATATGCCAATACTGAGTAGCCTCTGCTTCGAAATGCGATGATCAACGGTGTCAAACGCTTTGGAAAGATCAATAAATTAGAGCTGCACAACTCTGCTTATTATCTAAAATACTAGTAATGTCATTCACCACTTTCATTGTCGCAGTGATGGAGCTATGTTGCTTTCTGAAGCCTGACTGATGTTTAGACAGGATATCATTTTTACATAAAAACTCCTTTAATTGTTCACTCACTAGTCGTTCGAGCACCTTCGCCAGAACTGACAATTTAGAGATTGGCCTATAGTTATTTAAAATAGTTGCCTCCCCTCCTTTTAGTAGAGGCAGGACATACGCTGACCATACTTTTGGAATTGCATTTGTGCTGAGGGAGAGGTTAAAAAGAGTAGTGAGAGGAGGAGCAATAAAATCTGCAGCTATCTTTAAAAAGAAAAGTTCTACGTTGTCCGGGCCAGCCGGTTTCTTAGGATCTAGCTTGGTTAAAGCTTCATGAACAACATTAACAGTAAAAGGAGTAAAACTGAAAGGGTTTTCCAGACCACATTGTTCAGAGTCACAGATTGGG